AGTTTCAAAAATTTTATTGTAAAAAAATATATATATTTATTTACTTTCATTCAGCTTTTAGAAATTTTATTCTGTTTTTTAATTAAATTTTCTGTAAATTTTTTGGTTAAACAAAATTTTTTTTTTTTTTTCAATTTCATACAATTCGTATAAAATTATTGTATTAATTTTTAATCTTAATTTTTCTTTTTTATTTAGTTTCATTTAAATTTTTAGTTTTTTATTGGTTTAGAAAGAAAAATACCTATTTTGTCTTTATTTAATTAAATTTTCTAGAAAACATTTTGCTTAAGGAAAAACAGAATAACGCTAACACCTCTTCGCTAGCAGGTATTTCAATTAGTCCTTCGAAAGACAGAAAAGAGCTTTTTAGATAGTTGCCAGAATTGATTAATTTCTTGCGAAAGAGTGTGGTAAGTTGATAGAAATTTGCCGGAACTGCACAGGATGTGATCTACAATTTTCGCAATTGGTATTTTTCATTGCATATATACAAGCGTTCATGTATTTATGTATGTATGTGCATATGTATGTAGTATACATTTTAAGATTACTCATCATTGCGAATCGAACTATTTTTTCCTCCCGTCTTCATAATAGGCATACCCAAGTGCAATTTCAATGCCGTTTTTAGCGCTTCTGATTTTGCAATTTTTCTTTCATTATTCACACAGGCCATACTTAACTACATACATATGTATAATTCACTCAAATTACATGCGTCAACAAATATTGTACTATGTAGATATCTACACACCACAATTGTCTGGTCAAATAGCCTAACCACACACTAACACACACACCCTAAATCCGCAATCACTGTTGAATTTATGACATTCCTGTCACATGAGAAACAGTTCAGTTGAGTTACGTATGTACGTACATACGTGCGTGGCAAGTCGGTCACTTGACTGCGAAGTCCAAATAGCTAAATAAAAAACGTGCGATAAGATTCTGATTCCGTGTAAAAATGGTTTTGCCAATAACACTTACATACATACATATCAACCGACATATAAATGACTAAATACCTTTATACTTACATGCCTAAGTATACATATGCGTAGACATACATATATATATATATATATATGTGCAAGTAAGTATAAAAATATTTTCTTGCTGGCGCCACAGGTACTTAAGCCATGCGATTACTGTCATTTAAGTCTATTGACGTCGATATATACATACATACCTACATACAAATATGTAGCTATGCACACATTTATAAAGTACAAAATAAAAATTCTTAAGATAACGTAATAACAACGGTTATTTTAAGTATGCATTTATTTATTTCAGAGTAATTTCATTCTTTGCTAAAATGTCAATGTACAATGCGAAAATTTCGCAAACAATACCAAGTAAGAGTAAGTGAATATCGAATATGTTTATTTCCAAGAGTGCGCCTACTTACACATATACATACATATATGAACTACGACCTTCGCTGAAAATTCAGTACTTATGAAAAGAACCTATTAGCACAAACCGACAAACGCTTGCTTATAGTGCCAAAGAAAAAGCAACAGAGAACCTATAACGGTTATGGCTTAAACCAGGTTATTATCTTGACAGACAGCCAAACTGCTGTTAAGGACCTCCGAACTATTCAGGCAACAGCAACACTTGCGGAGTGTGCCTTAGCAAGCTGAACTTTCTTGGTCGGTCTGATCAATCGAGCTTGTGTTCTTAGGCTGGGGGTACAAATTTTTTCTAAATAAAATGAGATCGCCACTGAACTCGTGCAAAAAGGAGCACTCTAACCCATTTCATCCGCCTAGAAAGGGGCGTATTTTAATTTTTTTGGTATGCAATTTTATAGCTTATTAAATTCTAGTATAATAAAGTGCAAGTTTTAAGTTTCTAAATACTCGCGTTGATTTTTGATCATTTTTTTGCTGGCGGTGTTATGCAATCTTTTCCATATAAAAAATTACTTTGTTTGTTGATGTGCTATCTTTTGTCGCGGGTTGTATCCCCAACCAAAACTTGGGCATCTTCTAATAGTTAGCGCTGTTGATTAGATTCAAACACAATGTGATTGTTCACACCTGCTTGGTTATTAGGTTATCTGATTATGTTGTTATATTTTTTATATAGTTTACAATATTTAATTGAATACGAGTACACTACAAAATATAAATTTTGAAAAAGCAAACCTGTTAACACGGCAAGTGTAAAATCCACAATGTTGACGGGGCGTATGAGTGATTTTTTTTTTTTCATTTTCATTAAGGGGTTCTAACACAATTGAATTTTGCCAATTGACCCAATTTGCATACGTAATTGCATCGTGTAAACATTATCCAACCTTTTTATAGATATTTCTCTAATTTTTGGAATATTGCAACCGGATTCCCACAATCGCTATAGCTAATTTTGATCGCCAAAAAAATAATAAAAATAAAAAATGCAACAGCATGCAACTTCTTATTTTATGCCCCTCATACTGCCAAACAGTGTGACCAGATGATCACAAAAAGCGAAGCAAAATTGGGTTTGAAAAAAGATTAGAAAAAATTATACCCTTTGAAAAGTAGATGAAGTTAAAAAGAAGTCAGCATATTCATCCGTCATCAATTTTTTAATTCCTTCTCATCAAAACGCAAATTACCATCTATTAGGCTAATAATGGCTACATTATTTCAAGGTATGCAAAAAGAAATTCAGTTTATTTTCTACAGCAGACTACATTAGTAAATAGTACGCCAACAAATCACAATGTAAAAAAAATCAAGAAAATTGTTTAGTATTTTTTTTTTAATAAAAAAGCTAAGAAAGTATTTTCTCAAAAAATGGTATTTTTATAAGTTACAGTCCAAATTTTAGTATGGATACTTTAAGTAAAAAAGGCCAGAAAAAACCACAAAGTCGGACCTAGTTCTGAGGCTATGGCATAAAATAAAATCCTAAATCTAGTATCAAAAAGGCTAGCCTGGTCATACCGCTGGCAGACTTGGCTGATTACTTATTGTGTGCTAAAAATCTTAGAACAATTGCTTTTGTTTTTAGTAAATTTTGAAAACAATTTTTCACTTATTTAACAACTTTTTGCTTTTAAAACTTGAATTTAAAATAAATAATAATCTACAATTTAAGCCATACATTTTTGCTTTTAACTTTTAGGTGCATGATCTTGGAAGAGCTAAACTACTTGCCTTTGAAATAGAATTGTGAAGAACGAAGCATTTCACCTTTATTTCTTCTGACCTCGTGACTGGAACTAAAATTGTTAAGATGCCGCAAAGAAGATATACAGATGCCTGTAAGTACCTAGCAAATCATAAATTAATTTTAGAGCAACATTTTTGATATAATTTCGTATGATTTTATGTTTCTGTGGCGCTTTTATAAACAACTATTAACTCAAATGATACAAGATTTCCATTCATTCTTACCAAAATTGAAATATGTACCATTTAGGTTACTAAAAATACGGTGTTGGCATGAGGCGATTTTACAGGCAACTTTTAGCTAAAAGAAAAAAATTGCAAAAATCGCCTGGTGTGAACGGCCTTTCAACTAATCGCTTCCAATGAAGTTGGGGTGCAACCAACTTTGCATTACTATATAATAGCTACAAGTTTTGAAAAAGATTTTAAGTAGTACCGTATGGCCTGCTTATAGACAGTGCCCAGTCAACACACCTGTCAGAACCAAAGCAAAAAGTAGGAGGTTTCGTTGAGCTGGCTACAATCCAACTTCTATAAGCTTTTCATAAGCTTTACAGTTTTCTGCAATGTCACTGTACCCTGGCCCTGAAATCAGACTTGAAACTTGAAAGTTCTCCTAGTGGATCGTGAGAGAGATGAGACACTGCCCGACCAGTTTTCATCATACAATGAACCAACCAGCGCTAAGATTGCCGCCTGGCTGTAAATGACATATATTTAGCCAGTCGACTGTCACCTTAGCTTGAAATGCGCTGCATAAATCTGGCAGCTTAGACATGAGAATTGCGGAGAGTTCCTGACAGAACACACCTCCTCCAACTCTACTGTCTACTTCGGCCCATCTGGTAAAATCTTAATTGGTCATCTGTTCCAGAGCCAGTCATTCTTCCATTCACCCTAAAAGTATGCTAAACACATAGCAGTTCCGGTGTGAAGTGGGAATAGGCGTATGAGTAATTACTTATTACGCATATTTTTCCAGTGAAAAATATTAATTTATATTGAACTGAAACTTCTGCTGAATGTTACTAATATATAAACAAACAAACAAAAACATGCTACGATCAATATCTTCTGAGTTATTTTTTCAAGCTAACGACGACCTCCACGCTTGGCAACAACAAAAGTAGCATAATTTTTGCTTTTAATAAGCTACAGCTGCGGCGATGGCGAGCAATCAAACCTACCTACCCTACAGTTTATTATGCTTGTTTTGTAAGTACTTAAAAATAAATAAGAAAATCCAAGACATTAAAAAAAAACAAAAAATTTTAAACGTTCAATGACAAATTCCACTATCAAGAAAATCCCATAGAATGCGCGCATACACACACATAGATACATACATATATTTTATAAAAGAAACGATAAAAATGTAGCAAAATACCTTTGATGTATGAATAAGTTTTTGTATATATGTATGTATGTACATACATAGATATCCGGTATTTATGCTGCTACTAATAAATTAAAAAATGACTTACAACATTGTAAAAATGCGATTACAAATTTAAAAATTCCAAAATGCTTACGACAACAGCATCATCATCATCACTTGAAAATGTTGTATGAAAGCCCAACGCTATTCGGTATTACAGTGAACATTAAAAAGTAACCAAACAAACAAAAAACAAGACAAAAAAAAAATACACAAAAATGTGAATTCTGAATACATACATATTAGTATCTAATACTTGATACACAAACAATCAAATAAACTAACATACAACTTTGGCATTTCAGCCATTAATTCATAAAATCATCAAATACACGACGCACACTTCAGTTACATACACACCTACATAGATATGAGCATAGAAACACACATGTGTGTACATACGCACAGTTATTACAAAAACACGTAATGTACAAATGTACATTAAGGTGCCTCACCAAAAACAGTGGTGGTTCTTTCAAGAAAATTATAAAATTTATTAAAACCAAACAAAAAATGGTAACATTTACGTAAGCTGCACCGGTTTTAAAGTACAAGTGCAAAAGATTTTTATAAATATGTAATATTTTCAAATTTTCTTTTTTTCAAAAACACCACAGAGGATAGAAGTGTCTAAGCTTAATAACTTTAACTTGTTTAATAACTTTATCAACGGAATCAAAATAAAAAGATTTTTGATTTTTTTTTTCAAGTCAGTCCAGCTCGCTTAATCCTGATATTTTTCCAAACTATTTTGGCAGAAGTCTTAAAATGTCATAAATTTTATAATTCCGATAGGAAAACGGTACCTATGTTTTTTTTTTTTTTTTTTTTTTTTGGAGAGTCATGCATCCTACTCCACATGTGTACATACATGCAAACATTCCAGCAATTGTAGAGTCACACAAAAAGTCGTCGCAACAGAGTCAAATTCAGTTTCGAAGTCAGCAACGCAGTCGCAATCGTTGACAGTGGCAGTCCGTGTGTGGAATGCGGTTTTGTAACTTCTAGAATGAATTTCTTAAGTAAAAACACATACAGCTAAAGCTACATACAACGTCGAAGGCTATCCACCAGCAACGTCGTCATCATGGTGGGCAGCCACTAAACTCGAAACAAAATACAATATTAGGCAAGCAGGCGGGCGGGGGCTGTCTGGGGGGAGGGTCGTGTAAAGAGCACCGAAGAGCATTAAGCTAGTGTGAGAGAGAAGTTGCAGATCGAGAGAGAGAAAGAGAGAGAGAAAATGAGCGTAAATATTCGATCTGTGAAGTCGGTTTACATTATTTCTGTTGGTTTTTTTTTTGTGTGTATTTCAATGTGTCCGTCTGCTTGACCGCTAGCTGTCACATTCCTGTTCCACAGTTCGATCCATTAGCCATTTAGCCGTTATATCGGAATTTTTGTCTTGCTCGTTATACCTATTTATGTACATATAAGGTAATAAATATGCTTGTATGTATGTATATGTTTGGATATATACACTCATCCATACCTTCGTACTTACTTTGTGTGGTATGCGGTGGAGATGCATTAGCTAGATTTGATACTAAAATTGCTGGGTGGTTGGTGGCCCCATTTGACAGTTATTCATATGGTTACACAAATTCTTAATATATGTTCACACACCTCAGCTGTATGCATGCATTGTATATCAGTCATTTCCGAAATCGTATCTTACTTATATAGCTCCTAAAAGTATGCAACTGTTTGAAACAAAATAATTTTACATAATTTTACGCGAATTAGGAAAGTCGACAAATTATAAGTTAGTCGCTTCCAGAAGAGATTGAAAATAGTTGCTGGGTGGCCGATGAAGCAGCTATCACTCTAGTAAAAGCTCTCTCTGTAGGTACTCCGCGAAACTTTGTGTCGCTCTGTGGTTACGTCTGTGAAATCATACGAGCAACCTCCAAGTTCTAGGAGGGAAAGAAATAAAGAAATGATATATTCTAAAACCAGGCACCGTTGTTAGAAATATTATCTACGTTTACCCAATTTAAGTTAAATAGTCGAGAAATACCAGAGTTACTCACACGGTGCCGGTCTATGGTCACGCCTCTTTCCTGGGTTTCCGACATAGGCACAGTGAAGAAAGTAAGATAGCTGATGAACTGGCGAAAGCTCAGCGGAAAACCAACAAAGAATTACATATTTTCGTCCGAAAATAAATAAACACTTCTCGCCGCTGTGGTATTCGCCTCGCTTTTACGCAATGCTATCAAAACGGAGCAAACGCAGCGCGAAAGTTCTATGTAGATAGGCCTTTACTCCTAAATGAAGCGAGTTAGAAGCGGTATTGTGCAGCAACTACAACTCAGCCAGGCTCATGTGGCTAGGATAGGGTGGTGCATGAAAAAATCACAATAGCTTCGCTCGTTTAGAGGGAGGGAAATATGATTAACTAAAGTGCTACTGACAAGCCACTTTCTTTTAAGGGGACACGCAACTGTCAGGCATCCACTGTATGCTTTGTACCATGCAGAAGACGACAATAGCATTTGGGTATAGGATTCTTAAACGATCTAAACGTAGTACCCAGTTGAGCACATGCGACAGCTGCTCAGATTTGATGACTCCACGTACTTATTCAAAACGAGTTAGGCGTTTCGAGATCTCGGTGTTATCACAAAGGACCCTATGTGTGCTGGCATTACTAAAATCAACCTCTTAAACCTAACTCTAACCTCTTCTCAACCAAGTGACAAAAGCAGTTAACGATATGAGAATTATATTCAAGAAAAAAACAAAAAAAAATAACGAAAAATGACATTTAAGATGGCCAGTCTGTCCCCCAACCAAACTTGACAAGGATGACTACAGCACTTGGGACAAAGACCAAGGAACGTCGTGGCCGGCTCGAAAATATGCGGCGTTGTTGTTGTAGCGGCTACTAAGCCCCGTTCGGGTCGGTTCATCCGTCAACGTTGTCGTCAATTTCAGTTAGGGGGAGACCCTGGAAGTGTGCGACTTCCACAGGGGCTGTCCATAGGGACAGGAGCGTCAGCTGAGTGGGGTTCTCAGGGAATGTGAAGAGGTGCCGGGAGTTATGTGGCGACTCTCCACATGCCGGGGATTGATTGGGCACATCCTCATTGATTCTACTCAAGTATGAGTTTAGCCTGCGGCGTCTATGCGGTCGCCGGGAACCAGCAGGATGCAGTGGCTGAAGCTACAGGCTTTCCAACATACAGCAATCCGCTCAGCCACCGGATTCCTTCTGATGTCATCGAAACATCATCTCGGTAACGAAGCCCAAATGATGCCTGTAAGAGAGCACAAGCAATTACTAGAAGGGTGGTAGAGGCGTGAACACCCAAACACACTGCTTGAAGCGGGGGGGAATCTGTCTCAACCTACACCAACTTGCGAAATGTGTATGCCGTTTTAGGCGTACAAACACCGACCTTAGACGAGACAGAACTTGAAATACCATTGAGGACCTGCACAAATCGTATCTCCAAATTCCAAGAAATATGATCACATGGAACCATGTTAAACCATTTTCCGATTGAATAATATTCACGGTCGCCCCAAGAGCCTTGAAAGTTTTGAAAAATCTCTCCGATTATGGTTCTGTTATACCTTTTTTTTTAGATTTTCTAGAAAGACTTCGATCAATTTCAAATATACTCATATACATTAGGGTGCAGCGCAAAAATTGATTTTTTGCTGACAGCTTTCCATACAAAGTATGTTTTGAAAATACTTTTTATATACTTAAGAAAGTAACTTTTAATAAAAAATATGTTTAGCAACTTAAAACTTGCCCTTTATTGGGTTATAAAACTGCATATTCAATAAAAAATCTAGAAAATCATTTAAAAAATAAAAAATAATTGTAATTTGAGTGATTTTTCGAAGCTTTAAGGCTCTTGGGGATCCGTAAATAAGTATTATCCGATCGGAAAACGGCTTAACATGGTTCACGGTTTTACGCACTATTAAAATTTTAAAATAAATTTTTTCGCGCCATGCTAATGTATATGCTTGCATAAGAAATTGTTTGTCAATTCATAAAACCGAATACTCTAAATAACTTAAGACTCGTTAACCGCTTTTTATACGCTCATTTGACATAAGCAGAGTTGCGTTTTATAGGCAAATATGAGTTCATTTGTGTGCGTGCGAGCGCAAAGAGCAGACTCAAACAATGAACTGATGCGTCATTTGATAAAAATCGGGCTTACCTGTAAGATTTGTGCTACGTAAAAGAGAATGTACTTGAAGAGAAGCAACGGCACGGTGTGGTGCTATAGATTGCGAGAGGAAACGGAAACACAAATAAAGAATGAGCGCGACAGCTTGAAAGAAAGCGTGAAGCATGAAGACTGAGATACCGATGTACATTCATATGTGTGTATGAATGTATGAGCGTGAGCGTGAGAAAGAGAGCCGCTCGTATACATATGAGGTTCAAGCAGCAGATCACGATGATGTTGGACTAAGATTACATTTGCGATGGGAAGACTACAACAGCAGCAACAACAACAACAACAACGAAAACAATAGCCAAAAGACGCGACAACGAAACAGTGGGTTGAGTGAGCGAAAGAAAACGAAACGTGTATAAAGAATGATCGAATGAAAAGAAAAGACACATTTTCATTCAGTAAATTTCAGTTGTTGCAGCAGCGTGGAACATACTGGCCACAGGCCACAGCTAACGCTTACATAAAAATATATCAATATCGAGATAAAGCAAAGTTTGCCAAGCAATCGACCGACCAACCAAGCAATTTTCAATAGTACATAGTTAACAGTTACAGAATGAACAGTGTACCGAATATGTCAAACAACAGCCAACGTCCTAGAAAGATATGTATGCTAAATCGAAGCGAGCGAGGTTGTTGAATGGTGAATGGTGTTAAGTGAACGTGACGTTTGAATTCGTGAAATTATTTAAATGTACTAAATGGTATGTTGTTACAGACAGACAGACGGACAGACATACTATATTTGGGGTATACATACATACGTACATACATATGTATGAAGAAAAAAGTGATATGCACATGGCGACGCGACAGTTGATTAAGTGTGAAATGCATGCACGTACATACATACATACATATGTATTCATGTATGTTTGTATGTTTGTAGGCGTAAGCGGATATGACACTACAGGATGTATGAAATAAGCAATTTACTGTTATGAATAAACAAAAGTGAGCAGAGGGCACACATGTACATACGTATGTATGTATGTACCTATGCATGTATGTAGCAACAATGTAGTATACTATCAGATGGTGATTTTAAGACTTTTTAGGAGATAATTTTTTTTTTAACAAATATACTAAAATTGACTGACATCCTTAATGGCGCTTAGGCAAAGTCCAAAGAGTTTGGAATTTTTTCGCCATTTTCAGTGTCAAGCTTTTTCTTCATTTTTTCGTT